AAAATATTGTGGGATTTTATATATGAATATTTTGTGACTTTCAACAATAAGAGTCATCTAATTAAATATGCAAATACATTTGTAATTACCCCAGTTTGTACTGCACTGTTCACAAAATGCCCTTTTTTATGATTTCCTAAAAAACCTTACTTTTAATATAATAGGTTCCCCTACCTTTGCTCCACTTGGAGTCACAACTACTTCAGTCTTCTTGCGAAACATAACCTCCTTTCGCTTTTCTCTAGCTTTGTCCTTGTTATCGACCTCTGTTACCTTCTCATCTTCAGTTTGTACATCCTCCTTTTTGGATGTCCCAGGAGCAGCATCTTTATCAGAATCTGTCTCCACCTCCACAGTGACACTGCATACCGGGTCTTCCTCTCCATCTTTGGTCTCTTTTTTCAGTTCAGTACCAGTATCTTTCTTACCTTTGGACTCAATGTCACCTCTATCTTTTGATGAATTGTTACCATAGTGACCAATGCTTATTATAGAATTGGGAACGGCAATAACGAAGTCCTTAGCTTTCAACCTTCAAAAAAAAAAAATAATTGCATTCAGTGTTGTAACTGACACTAAAACCTATTTCAATCCCACAATGCAGTGCTACTTGGTTATATTTACTTGAAAAATCCCCTCTCCAGGTAAGGTAATATGAGAAACAGATTTCAATTAGTATATTATGGTAAGTTACCACTTTCTATTTCCAATCAGTGTAAGTTAAACAAGCAGCCACTCGGCTGAGATAGCTCCACACATTTCAATTAAAGAATGGAAAAAATGAACAAATCTGAGAAAGGTCCAATCAAGAAAAAGTTGAAAAAGATTAAAAGTTGATGCTGACGTCAAAGACAGACAATCAGTAATATGATTAGCTCGACAGCGTAGCTAATACCAATCTAATCTAAAACAAAAATATTGACAAATTTTATAATATTGATTCTGATCTACTCACAGAACATCAACGGTTGATCCCAACCAGGTCCGTGCTAGTCTGCCTCTGAGTGTTGCTACGGTGTATGGCAACTCAAATTTTGGTTCATCCCAGTGCTTATCCTTCTCCAGAGTGGGAATTCGGCCATGAAGGTTATCAACAATCAACAATGCTACCTTTAAAAAAAAACATATTTTATTTGAAATTTGTTTCATAAAAATAATTCCTCTCATCACTATTCATAACCTTTAACCTTTCCACCACCAGACTTCTTTCGTCTAAATTATTCAGCACTTTTTTTCTAATAGTTTTCAATATTTATGGAAATGAACCCTAATTTTGGAGCTAACAGACAATATTTGAGTGAATTTTCAGTTTTTACTCAAAAAATGTGGCTATTTTTGGCCCAATTTTTTGAAGGAATGTGCAGACTATAAACAGGACTATTTTGTGAATTTGTGATGAAAAGGGGGAGCTGGTTAATTATACCTAAAAATACAAACAAATTGATCAAATTTTTTTTCTAGAAACTCAACCTCAGTCAACCCAGCTTTCGTATGACTTGTATAATTATAAAATGCAAATATGACATCACACAAATACTATGTTTGAAATCTATTATATTATTTTGACTAGCTTAGAAATTAGACTGGAGTAACAACAAAATCTAATGTGTTGTGTCAATTTTTAACCCAACAAAAATATACGCACATGATTATCACTGGAAGCCATTTTGAATTCAAAATTGTGAAAATACCATGGCAATCCCAAAATATATTCACTGATACAGATTTGTTAGATTAGTGCCTCAATGGTATTTAATGATGAATAATATGCAGTTATACAATGATTGTGACATTGAAATCATGAGAAATATTATGTTACCATGCATAGACATGACATCCCATTGTATTTATAAATATTATACATTGTTACCTGATAGTTTCTGTCTATCAGGTAATTCAATTCAAAATCATCATCGTCAGCTCCATATGGATTCATAATGGATTCAGCAACCTTTGAGAAAAGAACAGAGAAAATTTGTTTATTAGGAAGCTGAGTTGAGAGTGATACAAAGTCTGATGTAAATTACTAGGCGACTGTGTGTCAGTTTGAGTCAAGCA